TTTTTTTTGAGACAGAGTCTCGCTCTGTCACCTAGGCTTGAGTGCAGTGGCACAATCTCAGTTCACTGCAACCTACACCTCCCCGGTTCAAGTGATTCTCCTGCCTCAGCCTCTTGAGTAGCTATGACTACTAGTGCCCACCACCATGCCCGGCTAATTTTTGTGTTTTGGTCTTAAGCATTTAGAATAAGGGATATCAAATCTGTACTTTTATAATGAACCAAAATGAAAGCTATAGAACTATAGAGGAAAACTGACAATGTCAAATGCCAAAAAGCAGTCAAGTGTAAGGACAGAGAAGGGGCCACCAGATCCAGTAATTAGGAGTCCCTGCTCCGAAAACTGAATAAACTGAAGGAGCAAGTTGTGGGACATAGGAACATCCAGAGGAAGAGTAATTCAGAGTGAATGAACAACAAGAACGAAGGTCCTGTGCTTGGCATGTTTGAGAAGATCTGTGTGGTTAGGACAGGTGAGGAAAAGTAAACTAGGACAATAGAGGCCAGAATATGCAGGGCTTTTTTTTGTTTTTTTCCTGCAAGGATTTCAGAAATCAATATGCAGGGCTCTTTAGACCAGTTTTACTCTGGATATCTGTGACGCCACTGAAAGGTTTTGAGCAGAGCTATGGCAAGCTCTGATTTTTCCCTTTTTTATTTTTATTATACTTTAAGGTATGGGATACATATGTAGAACATGTTATATATATATATGTTGTTTTTGTTTGTTTTTTGAGATGGAGTCTCACTTTGTCACCCAGGCTGGAGTGCAGCGGTGCAATCTCTGCTCACTGCATCCTCTACCTCCTGGGTTCAAGTGACTCCTGCCTCAGTCTCCTGAGTAGCCACAACTATAGGCACATGCCACCACACCCAGCTAATTTTTGTATTTTTAGTTGAGACAGGGTTTTGCCATGTTGGCCAGGCTGGTCTTGAACTCCTGACCTCAAGTGATCCTCCCGCCTCAGCCTCCCACAGTGCTGGGATTATAGGCATGAGCCACTGCGCCTGGCCTGTTTCAGCTTTTAGATATGCTTCCTACATCTATCTGCCATCTTCCCTTATCCAGGTGTTGGCAAACTATGGCCGTCAAACCAGTTCTTGCCTACCACCTTGTTTTGTATGGCTCATGAACTAAAATCACTTTTACGTCTTTATTTAATTTTGAATTTTTATATGTGTGTATATAAAAAATATATATATATATATTTTTTGAGACGGAGTTTCGCTCTCCTTACCCAGGCTGGAGTGCGATGGCGCGATCTCGGCTCACCGCAACCTCCGCCTCCTGGGTTCAGGCAATTCTCCTGCCTCAGCCTCCTGAGTAGCTGGGATTACAGGCACGCGCCACCATGCCCAGCTAATTTTTTGTATTTTTAGTAGAGACGGGGTTTCACCATGTTGACCAGGATGGTCTCGATCTCTTGACCTCGTGATCCACCTGCCTCGGCCTCCCAAAGTGCTGGGATTACAGGCGTGAGCCACCGAGCCCGGCATATTTTTTTTTTTTAATAGAGACGGGATTTCGCCATGTTGGCCAGTCTGGTCTCGAACTCCTGAGCTCAGGTGATCCGCCCGCCTCGGCCTCCCAAAATGCTGAGATTACAGGCATGAGCCACCGCGCCTGGCCGCATTTTTATGTTTTTATTTTTTGAGACATGGTCTCACTCTGTCACTCAGGCTGGAATACAGTGGCACAATCTCCGTTCACTGTAGCTTCAACCCCCTGGGTTCAAGTGGTTCTCTCACCTCAGCCGCTAAATAGCTGGGACTAAGGCACTTGCCACCATGCGTCACTAGTTTTTTGTATTTTTTGTAGAGATGGGGTTTCACCATGTTGACCAGGATGGTCTCGATCTCTTGACCTCGTGATCCACCCGCCTCGGCCTCCCGCAGTGCTGGGATTACAGGCTTGAGCCACCGCGCCTGGCCGATAATTTACCAATATTAAATTTCTTATTTGTGTTGATTGTATTGTAGCTATTCGGGTAGCCTTTTTTTTAAATAGAGATACATGCTGAGAATTTTTGAGATGAAGTGTTTGTAACTTGTTTTCTTATTAGTTTTTTAATTTATTATTATTATTTTTGAGACGGTCTTGCTCTGTTGGCCAAGCTGAGTGCATTGGCACAATCACCACTCACTGCAGCCTCCACCTCCCAGACTCACGCTGTCCTCCCACCTCAACTTCCCAAGGAGCTGGGACTACAGCCACATACTACCATGCCCAGCTAATTTTTTTATATTTTGTAGGGATAGGGTTTCCCTGTGTTGCCAAGGGTGGTCTGAAACTCCTAGGCTCAAGTGATCTTCCCACCTTGGCCTCCCAAAGTGCTGGGATTATGGACATGAACCACTGTACCTGGCCTAGAACTTATTTTCAAATGGTTCTGCCCTACCCCTCCAAAAAAATTTCTACACAGAGATAAGTAAAGTAAGTACGGCAGTTTGAGAATACTATAGGTAAAGAATATATGAGTGTTGACTACATTATTTCTTTCATATTTTTAATAAGTTTGAAATTTTTTTTTCTAAGTTTGAAATTTTAAAAATATTTGAAGCAAAAAAGGTTAGTTAAAAGGGAAAAAATGGAGAAAGCTCACAATAGTAAATACATAAACTTAGAAGTTTGAAAATGGGTTTTTGGCAAGTGTCTATACTGTAACATAATTAAATATTCATGCAAATTTGGTGCATTTAGATTGAGCTTAATGGAAAAATATTGGTGGAGACTACCATGCTAAACTTCTTTTCTTTTTTCAGTATAGACTATGGTCGAAGAAAAAGAAATGCTTTTAGGATTCAGGTAGAAAAAGGTGAGTCTTATTGTTAGAGCTCAATTATCAATAAAGTTATACAAATAATTGTTTTAGCTCATAGCATTTTTTTTCTTTTTGTTTCAGTATTTAGCATAATTAGTAGTGAGAAGGAACTTAAGAATTTAACAGAATTAGAAGATGAACATTTGGCAAAAAGAGCAAGACATGGTGAAGAGGATAATGAGTAAGTATACAAAATGCACTTTTTTTTAAACAGTGAACTTTATCACATTACATTCCTTCTTGTAAAACTTTCAGTGGCTCTGCATTGCCAACAAAGCCCTGCGTAATATTTAACTAGCCTCTTCAGACCTTTACTTCAGCCATATTGAATGTTCTCTATTCCCCAAAGAGATCAAATTCTCTTTGACTGTACCTTTGTATGGGTGATTTTGTTGAGTTAGAGTATCATTTCCCTTTCACAAACTCCCACTCAGCCCTCAATAATTGGTTGAAATGTTGCTGCCTTTATTAGGCCTAAGACTCCTTTTAAAACATTTCCTTAGCTTCTAGTTACAGATGTTTGTTATAATCCTTATCATATCATATGCCATTGAAATTATTTGCTTACTTGTTTGCATTACCAACAGTACTGTCTTATTACCTTCTTTTTCTGCCCTAATACAACGTCAGATATATAAAAAGGTGCCAATTAATTTTGTTTCAGAAATAGTATTGAGGGGTTTTTTTTTTCTTGAAACAGAGTCTTGCTCTGTCGCCCAGGCTGGAGTGCAGTAGCGCAATCTCAGCTCACCGCAACGTCTGCCTCCCAAGCTCAAGTGATTCTCTTGCCTCAGCCTCCCTAGTAGGTGGGACAACAGGTGGGTGCCACCACACCCAGCTAATTTTTGTATTTTTAGTAGAGACAGGGTTTCTCCATGTTGGTCAGGCTGGTCTCAAACTCCCGACCTCAGGTGATTCCCCCGCTTCCGCCTCCCAAAGTGCTGGAATTACAGATGTGAGCCACTGTGCTCATGTCTTATTGAACCATCACGATAAACAAGATACTGAACCTTTCCATAAATATCAAAAGTCTTCTTGTTCCCCTTTGCAATTCATTTTTCCCTCCACTCTTGTTTCTAAGTAACCTTTTTTTTTTTTGAGACAAGGTTTTACTCCGTCTCCAGCTGGAGCGCAGGCTGGAGTGCCATCACAGCTCACTGCAGCCTTAACTTAACAGGTTACTTGATTCTTCTACTTCAGCCTTCCATGTAGCAGCAGACACATGCTACCACACCTACCCAATATTTTGTATTAACAGGGTTTTGCCATGTTGCTCAGGTTGGTCTCGAACTCCTGGGCTCAAGCAGTCTGCCTGCCTCAGCCTCCCAAAGTGTTGGGATTATAGATGTGAGCCACAGCACCCAGCTTGAGGCAACCATTGATTTGCTTTCTGTCACTGTACGTTGCATTGCATCTTGTAGAATTTTACTTGGAATCATACTTTTAAAATCTGGATTCTTTCATTCTTTCACTTAGCATAATGATTTTGAGATTTATCAATGTTGTATGAATCAATAGTTCATTGCTTGCTTTTTATTGATGAGTGTGTATGGACATGCCACAATTATTTTAATCTGTTTATCTGTTTTGGGCTTTTTTTTTTTGAGACAGGGTCTCACTTTGTTGCCCAGGCTAGAATGTAGTGGAGTGGCATGATCACGACTCACTGCAGCCTCTACCTCCTGGGCTCAAGCAGTTCTCCCACCTCACCTGCCTAGTACCTGGGACTACAGGTGCATGCTACCATGCCCAGTTAATTTTCTAATTTTTTGTAAAAATGGGGGTCTCACTATGTTGCCAGGCTAGTCTTATATCCCCAGGGTTAAGCAGTCCTCTTGCCTAGGACTCCCAGAGTGCTGGGATTACTGGTGTGAACCACCTTGCCTGGCCTATCTGTTTATCTCTCACTGGGCAATTGGTTTGTTTCCAGTTTCTGACTATTACAAATTAAGCTACTATGAACATTTATGTCCAGGTCTTCGTGTGGACAGTATTTTCATTTCCCTTGTTAACTATCTAAGATTGGAATAGCAGCGTCATGTGATAGATGCATATTTAACTTTAAGAAATTCCCAAGCTATTTTCCAATGTGTTTGTACCATTTTGCTTTCTTACATTAGCAGTTTATGAGAACTCTACTTTTTTTCCACATATTGCCATTATTTGGTATGGTCAGTCTTTAATTTTCGGTAATATTTCACTATAAATATGACATTAGCTTTAGGTTTTTTTGTAGATGTCCTTTGTCAGAATGAGAAAGTTTCCTAATATTCCTAGATAGCTGAGAATTTTTGTCATGAATAGGTATTGCATTTATTAAGTGCTTTTCTGCATCTATTGAAACATCTCATTACGGGCTTCCCCCTTTAGTCTATTAACTTGGTGAATTATGCTGGTTCCCAGTATTAAGCCAATTTTGCATTTCTGGGATAAACTCTACTTGGTCCTGATATGTTATATTTTTAATATATTACTGGCAGCCTGGGCAACATAGTGAGACTCTGTCTCTACAGAAAATTTAAAAATTAGCCAGGCATGGTGGTACATGGTGATAGCCCAGCTTTTTTGGAAGCTAAGTTAGGAGGATTGCTTGAGCCCAGAGTTGGAGGTTACAATGAGCTATGTTTATGCCACTGAACTCCAGCCTGGGTAACAGAGATAGAGTCTCGCTCTTGTCACCCAGGCTTGAGTACAATGGCACGAGCCCAACTCACTGCAACCACTGCCTCTGGGTTTAAGCAATTCTCCTGCCCCAGCCTCCTGAGTAGCTGCCACCATGCCCAGCTAACTTTTGAAAAAAAGGGTATTAATTGGATTTAATTTATTAATCTTTTTCTACCGATGTTTGCATCTGTATGTCATATTGGTCTGAATTTTCTTTTGTTTATTTTTGTAATGTCTGTCAGGTTTTGTTGTTAGGGATTCACCAGCCTCATGGTATTAGTGGGAAAGTGTTTGTTTTTCTTTATTTTATGAAAACGAATTATGGAAATTCTTTTTTGAATATTTGTTTTTTTTTGTTTTTTTTTTGTTTTTTTTTTTTTTTT